AAATATTCCTAGGCCTAGTATAGCACACATGTACTAGGCCTCAAATAATATGTATTAGGCCTAGGAAGGTTAGGTATAATTTGTCTTTCCAACATAAGTAGAAAATCGTTTTTTGGTTTGTCCAAATCAAGTAGTAGCGATTTCTACTTTCTAATTGCGTTGTACGTCAGGATACGTACTCTGGTCCTCATCCTTCCTATAAGTACTACCAAAACAGGAGGATGGGCTGACCTCTGCATGTAAATACACTCATTTAATAAACTCATTTCAAACTCTCGCCTTTTACCAAGTGTTCTACATGGTTTGCATGACTGGTGCATCATTCCTAAACCACATATGCTTTCACCTGTCACTTTATTTCATATTAGTGTTACCTCTACAGTGTTTTACTTTGTTTCATATGTAGCAATAAATCTAATCACCAGTTGTAAAAACATTGAGTACTGTTGTTGTATTCACCTACTCTCCACATAAAGTCTTTTGTCATCACTGAGCTGTGCACAGCTGCATCTTTTGAGAGTGATTATGGGCATGCAACATACATATCGGGCCAGATGCAACTTTAGGAGGGATGACTATTTGGAAATGGATCCTCCAATTCAAAGACTTATCTATTAAAGCTCATTACTAAATATTCCTATTATTCAGAAATAAAATATTTTATTAGATTAACAATTATTGAAAGCAATATTTTTAATTAATGTGTTCACTACGTAGTTTTAAAGTAATTGATATGCAAACTTGCCCTTAAAGTCTCTTACTGCTCAGTAAAGTTATAATAAGGTATATGATAAGCTGTAAATTCTTATTAATTGATATACCCAAAACTTTGTAATATATAGCACCTAATTTTCAAACTAGATATTTGATGGTAATATCCACTGTGTAAGAACTATCAAAGTTTATATAAAGTGCCTATTCCTGTTGTAGTATTCCTTTAGTTTAAACACTTGAGCAACCTAGTCAATACCTTGCTGTAATTGTTGCTCTTGTTGTAGACTGTCACACCATGCAATAAATGGTTTTCTTAGTGGAAGACATGTTATCATAGTGCTGTCATGCCGTTGTTTTGATTGTAGTTTTAGTAAAGAGCTCATGTTAAACATGAAGTAGTGGTTAGATGGTTTAATTTACCACTGTATGATTTACAGTAATATGAAATAGTGGTACTGTATATATTTTTTTAAATAATAATGCCAGTGCTTCATAATAAACATGAGATGATGGTACATGGTGTAACTTAAACACACTCACAAACAAGTTCACAATAGAAAACATAGTGGTAGATAGTTGGAACACGTTAAGTGAGGTCATGGTGGATGCCAAAACCATCACTAGTTTCAAAACATTATATGACATGGGGTGCTGGGAAGACGGGACACAACGAGCTCTTTTCCTGTAACTACACTTGGGTAATTACACACAAAACAGATCCACGCCTTTTTTCATCAATTTTCTGGGGGGAGCCCCGTCGGCTCCCCGGAGCTTTACCGGCTGATATGCTAATGTCAGACTTTGGCATCAGTCATGTGTATGGAGTTCTAGGGCCTACCGGGGACCACGAGCCAGAACCTGGCCCCCTCAGAGAGGCAAGGGGAGCAATGGCCTATAGAAACCCCCGTGTGGTTGGAAGCATTCTATGTCTGCCATCGACCGGGTCAAGCATCCAGAAAGGTAAGCATTCCAAAACAAACCCCTATTCTGGTGAAAATTGCTACCTAAGCCGAACTAGTGAATAGAACTCTTCAACAGAAAACACGGAAACTAGTATGACGTCATACGTCACCGCGCCGCTGTCTGCGCAGCTCCCCCCTCCCCGGGAGGGGGAAGGGGGAGCCCCAGACCTCCCACGCCGGCTATCCACCCATCAGTTCTTCGGCTGGTGCAGGTTTCTGGGCCTGCAGGGTTTTGTCGTGTCTCCGTTGGCCCTGTCTGGGGTCTGCCTGCTCCGTTCTCTGCCTTTGCAGAGGGGAGTTGCTCTTTACATGTTGCAGTGGTGCCTGTTGCTGCTGCTGCTGCACGTGAGCATTGGTACCGTGTTTCACGGTGGCGTGTCCTTGTTCCTGTGTCCGGTTGTGGAGTGGCGCTTTGCTGCCGTTTTGTGCCTGGGGATTGCGTGGGGTTTTTGTCCCTGCCTGATTGTCCACCCCTGGTTGTTCTCCTGGTTTTTTTTTTTTTTTTTGTGCTTCTGCTCTTTCTTCCTGCCTCTTCTGCAGCAGGAATGTTCTGCGTGTGTTCTTAGGCGTTGGTCAGCCTGTGTCCTGTGATGTGCTTCTTTGTCTCGGTCTGTTGCAGTTGTTCGTGCCCCTTGGTTCGGGTCCTGTTCTGGCGGCGACCCTTCCGCCTTCTTTGGTTTTCCTAGCTTGAGCTGCCGGTTGTCTCGCCTCCTTGGGGGGTGCGTGGTGTCCGCCTCCCGGTTTTGTCCCTTTGACCTTCCTCTGTGGGTAGTTAGCTCCGGGGAGCCGACGGGGCTCCCCCCAGAAAACCAGCGTTGAATGTAATGAAACGCCATTTTCTGGGTGAGACCCGGAGGCTCCCCGGCAACCCTCCCTCCCTCCGGTCGGCGTTTTTCGCGTGTTTTGACATCCAGCCTCAGAACTGATGGGTGGATAGCCGGCGTGGGAGGTCTGGGGCTCCCCCTTCCCCCTCCCGGGGAGGGGGGAGCTGCGCAGACAGCGGCGCGGTGACGTATGACGTCATACTAGTTTCCGTGTTTTCTGTTGAAGAGTTCTATTCACTAGTTCGGCTTAGGTAGCAATTTTCACCAGAATAGGGGTTTGTTTTGGAATGCTTACCTTTCTGGATGCTTGACCCGGTCGATGGCAGACATAGAATGCTTCCAACCACACGGGGGTTTCTATAGGCCATTGCTCCCCTTGCCTCTCTGAGGGGGCCAGGTTCTGGCTCGTGGTCCCCGGTAGGCCCTAGAACTCCATACACATGACTGATGCCAAAGCCTGACATTAGCATATCAGCCGGTAAAGCTCCGGGGAGCCTCCGGGTCTCACCCAGAAAATGGCGTTTCATTACATTCAACGCTGGTTTTTTAAAAGCAAGCTGCATGTAAAGAATAAAATCCAGAGATTGAGAATGAGGATAAAGTTCTCCGAGAATGAAAAAGAAATGTGTGAAACACTAAACGAACAGTTCCAAAGTGTGTGTTGTATGCAAAAGGAGGTTTTCAGAGAGCCATACACAATGCCAATTCCAGAAAACACCATAGAGTACATAGAGGTGTCAAGATGAAGTGGAAAATTTACTAAAGAGGTTAAAAAGAAATACAGCTGTTGGACCAGATTGAGTTTCATTTTGGGTGCTGAGAGAATGTGCAACTGAGCTAAGCATTCCACCTCAACTGATATTCCAGACATCTTTGTAAACAGGAATCTTAACAAATATTTGGAAAATTGCAAACATAGTTCCAGTCATTAAAAATGGTAGCTGAGAAGACCCCTCTAAATTATAGACCCGTATTATTAACAAGCATAGTAGTCAAAATATTTGAAAAATAGTTAAAACCAAATGGGTAGAACACATAAGAGTAATGACATAATATAGTTTTCGAACAGAAAGATCCTGTGTAACAAATCTACTTAGTTTTTATGATAGAGCAACAGAGCTTCTACAGGGAAGAGATGGTTGGGTTGACTCTGTATATCTGGGCCTGAAAAGGCTTTTGACAAGTCCCACACAAGCTGTTGTTTTGGAAACTGTAATATGCTGGCAGGGTGACAGGAAGACTTCTGACATGGATGAAAAATTTTCTAACTGACAAAGATGAGGGTGGTAATCAGAGGCAATGTATCTATCTGACTGGAGGAGTGTTACTAGAAACTATCACAGGGTTCAATTGTTGCTTGAGTAATGTTCATCATCGATTTAAATGAAGTTTAATTAGGTTCAATTCAAACCATGAATACCAGAAGGAATACAGAATTATATGAACATGATTGCTGATGATGCGAAGCTGCTAGGGAAGATAGGAGACATAGATGATTGTTATGCCTTTCAAATTGATCTAGGTAAAATAAGTGCTTATAGTGCAATGTAGCAAATGGAATTCAATGTGAATAAATGCCATATTATGGAATGTAGAATTGGAGAAATAGACCACGCACAGCTTACAAATTATGTGGAAAGGATTTAAAGCATTCTAACAGAGATCGAGATCTCGGGGTGGTTTTGTATAGTAGACTATCACCAGAGGAGCACACAAAGAACATTGTGCGAAGAGCATTTTTTTGCTTTCCAACTTTAGAATCGCTTTTAATTACTGTATACAGATGGTGAAATACTGAAGAAACTGTTCATGACTTTTGTGAGACCAAAATTGGAATATGCAGCAGTTGTATGGTGCCCATATCTCACGTAGCACAGAAGTAAACTGGGAAAGGTGCAAAGACATGCTACAAAATGGCTACCGAAACTGAAAAACAAGAGTTATGAAGAGAGGCTAGAGTCATTAAATATGCCAAAGCTAGATGATAGAAGAAAAATAGGTGATGTGATCACCACTTACAAAATAACATCAGGAATTGAACAAATTGTCAAAAAGGAATTCCTGAAACAAGCAACAAGAGGTCACAGATTAAAGCTAAGGAAATAAAGGTGCTGAAAAAATATCGAAAAGTTTTCTTTTGCAAACAACATGGTAGACGGTTGGAACAAGTTAAATGAGAAGGTGGTGGAGGCCAACACCGTCAATAATTTCAAAGCATTATATGACAAAGAGTACTGGGAAGATAGGATACCATGAGCATAACTCATTATAACTACACTTAGTTAATTACACACACCCATCCCTTTTAGTATATCAGCTGTGTAGTGTTAAGTGTTTATCTCTAAAGAAAAAATAAAGATTTCTGGAACTAGCCTGTTAACATTTATTTATTTTTTTCAACTGTGATGTACATCTTAACTATAGCTATAAAATAGCATGTTTGTAATTGACATTAAAAAATGGTGGTGTTTTTGAATGGTATTGTCATTCTTCTTTACAGGTTTCAATGGGTAGTAATGCAAATGACAAGAAAAGTTATGTTATTTCTGGACACTGGGATCCAACCGACCCTGTCTTTGTTGTCCTCAATAAAGAGACTCCCAGAGATAGGAGACTCTTCATGACGGTTGCCATAGATCTAGTCATAAGTAAGTTCTTATTATCTTCTCTCAAATTCATATTGCTTTAAGAATATTAGATTTTTTAATTGTTATAGTACTGTAGTAAGAACCATATTGCAATATTTTATCAAGTTTAATGCAAGAGTTGCTAACATAGTCCTTCAGTGTTGCTCTGTAAAACATTTAAGCTTCATGCAAAATTATTGTTCGAATTGCATTAAAAAAAATTTCTATGTGATCATGTTCTTCCATCACAGGAGGTATTCAAGAGCCTGTTCGTTTCGTAATTGAAACCAAAGTCAGAGTCTATCCTCAAAATGAGCGGTTCTGGTACTTCAGTAAGAAACCTCTTGTCCATCTATTCTCCCTTAAGCTGAAACAGGTAAATATTAGTCATTTTAATGCACAAAGAAATCACATTAATGTGATGTATCAATGAGAAAATTCATAGGAACCCTGAGGAGGATTTGAACCTGCACGTTAATGTGATTTCTTTGTGCATTTAAAGAGAAGTTATGGAGGTAGAACTCCTATACCAAGCAAGGGGCTGTTTTAGCACCATTACGGGCCCCCTGGGCAAACCAGTGTGCTGGGGCCCCCTACTACGACAACTACTCACAGGAATAAAATGTAAATGGTCGATAATATTAAACATATACTGTATTTATTTTCTTGGCATTTCAACAAAACTGGTTTTAAAACATGAAAAACATGCTATGAAGCAGCAACTAATCAACATGATAAACATTTGAACAATACACAAGGCTTGAAAAATACAATAATACAGTACTCGGTAAGCTACACAGATTAGATTGCACAATATGAAATTACTACGAACTTATTATAACAAGCATTTATGGCATTTCTTTTCAGAGAATTGCTTTATTGGCTTGAAGTCAGTGGTCTTCAGATATCATTTTCCATGCACATGAGTGAAAGTCAGTTCAAACAATGCTGCCCCATTGTGCTATGAAGCAGATTTTCTGGGGATGCCCCGTTCACTTCCTGAAGCTATCCGAATTGATGTGCTATATTAATTTGGGGTCATCAGTCACAGGGGTTCTTAAGCCTACTGGGAATCATGAGCCAGAACCTGATCCCCTCAGAGAGGGGACCAGGTTCCATCTTGCCCTGGGTAGGAGAGTATTATTGGTTGGGAGGGGGTGGGGGGGGGGAGAGGGCGCACTGCGGCTGGCATGATCTGCTTATTACCTATGTGACAGCTGATGTTTCTTTCTGGCTGCTAGTTTGCTTGGGGTGTGGTTTCGAGGGCTTGTACTTTTTTAATTTTCGGGCTTTTTCCCCTCTGTGAATGGAGGTCTGCTTAGCAGCTTATTAGGCTCGCCTAGATTGTGGTGGCTTTCCTGCTCTTCCTCCCTTGCCCCCAAGGTTTCACCACTGCTACTGATAGTTGACTTGCCTGCTTTCAAGCAGAGAGGTCTACTAGCTTAGCTGGCCCCAGTGCCTGGGTAACGTAGACGTACCCTGTGGGCCCTGGAAGACCCCTGTGTGCTCAGTTGGTAACATGGATTCGTCCGAGTCCAATCTCGCCTTGTGCAAAGTTAATGGTTGTTCTTCGCCCCTGCCTCAGGGAGATAATCACTCCTTCTGCCTCCGCCATGCAGCCTTTGAGTCGGTGACACCTACGACCCGGAGCCTTGCGGGACTTGTTTCCTGCTTGTGCTTCTGTTTACCCATTCTTTGTCTGTGTATGATAGGATTCAGGCTGCGGTGGTGTTGTGAGCTCTCTTCTCTGTCTTGCAACAGTGCCAGGTAGGTTGCCTGGTTGGAGGCCCTGGAGCTGCCCTGCTTGGGTTTTAGGGACCAGGATTTGGGGACGTTGCTTGCTTCGACTTTGGTTCTGTCTGCCCCTCCACTTCCACCCCAGGTGGGTGTGGTTCACCCTGCTCTTTCCCACCCTCCCCTGCTTCTGGCTCCCAAATGTCTGAGAGTTTTGGAGTCGGGGCAGGGTTTAGATTGGGATGAGGCTCGGGTGGCTTCGAGGCCTGTCCCTTCCTATGCAGGCACAGAGGTAATTGAGTCCATTCATCCTGCCGAAGCTTCCGGTTCATTCCAGCTGCCTTCCTTCTTGGAAGCTTTTCCCTTGGACTCTTCCTTTTCTTTAGGGGTGGTGGGCGTGGATGAGGGCTTTGCTCCGAGGCCTTTGTTGGGGGTTCACGTAGCTCGAGGGGAGTCCGCTTGGGCTCCTTTGAACCCTGCTTGGGCCCCTAGTGCCTTCTGGGCAGGGATCGTTGCTACAGGGGAAGGTTTTTTTGTACCCCTCCTTTTCTGTATGAATTTAAGTTAGGGGAGGTTTCCCCGGGTTCATTTCCAGGTGCCTTTGAGTTCCTTGGATTTGTCTTTCTGTAGGTTTCCTCCTTCTCAGATTTTCCTTGGGAGGTTCGAAAGACCCTTGGTGCGTATCTCCTGCGAAATCCAGTTTATGCTATGGTGATGGATCCGGCTTTGAGTTAGGCGCTTCTTTCTTGTATTGAGTGTGTTATGAGGTTCTGGCTTGCAGACTGCTCCTTTTTCTGTCTCGGAGCTTGCCGTGGCTTTTGTCGTACCCGCACGCTTGAGTGGCGGGAGGTTTTTTTTGTGTTGAGGTGTTCTAGGAGAGGCTCGAGTTCGTGTTACTCAGTGAGTGCCTCTTTGCTCCTGCGCTTCCTCGTGATGTGGGTCTGGTGTAATTGCATGCTTGGGTTCCCACTCTTTCGACTGGTTTGGCGGCTGAGGACCTCTGACCTCGGGATCATTTGGCTTCGGTTGTGTACCTTTTTGGTCTTCTGGAGCTATCTTTGGATTGGCTTTCAGAGGATGTAGGGGTATTGAGTGAGGGGGCCTTTGGTTGAGGTTCTGGTCTCGGCTGCCAAGGTGTCATCTGCCTTGCTTAAGCTGTTTGCATTGATCCTCATGGAGGTGGCTTCTATGTTTTTCTTCCTCTCGCCTTGTGTGTCGGCAAGCGGTGTTGGCTCTCTCCTTGGATCTAGCTTGGGCCCTGGCTCTACAGTCTTCTTCGCCATTCTGCCCTCTTTTGTTTCCCGAGGGTGTTGTGGCTCAGTTTTTGTTGGCAGCTTCGTCTAGTTGCTGTCCTATTTCAGACTTCTTGGTGTTACGGGGGCGCCATTCTCAGTCGTCTCGGTTTGGTTGCACCAGGGTTCCGGCCTCAGTAGGTCGAGGTAGTTCTTTGATGCCAGTAGTTGCATTGGTGGGTTCCACAAAGCATTAATGGCCTTCGTTTGCTAGGGGTTCGCGTCGGCCCTTTTGCAGGTCGCCCTGTTGATGGGGCGTTGGGATGGAGGGGGGGGGGGAAGGGGAGGCTGTCTGTTTACCCATGATTGGTCCCGCAATTCGTGGGATTTGGTGGTCGTTTCTTCCAGCCTTTGGTGGCATGGGGGGGATCAGGCTGGCTGGGGCAGCCTTCTTCCCCATCCCTCAGTCGGGTCATCCTGGAGTGACTTTGCTTTGGGCATGGTCGAAACGACTTCGTCTCTCAAGTGGGTTTCCCACTGGTTCCCAGTTCCGAAACGGGACCGTGTGGACCTTTGGTACATTCTGAACTTGTTTCGTCTGAACTGGTTGATTCCCTGCCCTTCTTTTCGGATAATCACCCGGCTGACTCGGGTCGTAATAGCCTATCTGTGTCTGCTAGGTCTTCGGGTTTTGGCCTATCTCGACGGCTGTTAGGTGTGGGCTCCCAGCCAGTTTGTTTGTCTGCTAGCCAGACATCTGGTTCTTTCCTAGCTTGCTGGGTTCGGGGTTCCTGGTGAATTCGGGGAAGTCCCAGTTTGTTCCGTCCCAGGTTCGGACTTAGTTGGGCCTCGTATGGGATTCTCGAACTGCATCCGTCTCTCTCTCTTTCCTGCAGCTCTGCTCCAGCTGCAGTCCTTCCATCAGCTGTTTTTAAGGGGACCTGAGTTATTTGGCAGTTGTTCGAGCAGCTGTGCCGGAGCTTGAATTTTGCTCTTCTAGTTTATCCGTTGGGCAGGATTTGGCTTTGGAGGTCATTCTGGTATCTTTGGGGCCGCCTCTTTTGCCTCACTCGAGACTGTTAGGTGTGCTCCCCGGTGTCCTTGCATTATTATAATTATTATTATTAACATTATTATTATTTTCTTTTTGTTGAATTATTTTCTACCACAAACATGACCACACATTTACAATGCTAATCAGCATATATACATTTTTTCTGTCCTCTGTGGACAGTGTTAGAGATCTGTTAAACATATAATTCGGTGATTTATTGAATAATCAACCACAGAGGGTGATTGTAGTGCTTTTAAAATGCTAATCTAACCTACAAACATAAATACACAGATTTACTTCTGTCCTACATAAACAGTGTTCGAGGTGTCTCTTTACATAACCTTATTAACTTGCGTTTACAAAGGTGAAATGCAATTCTGATCAGCTTCCATATATCCTGTATACAAATACACATACATATACATATGTATATATACATGTATCCACATATATATACATACACCTATGTCTTTCCTACTTTGACAGGTTAGGATAGCTTCTATAGAAACTGGTGTGTTATTAAACACTTAACCACTGAAGGTGATTAAGATGCTTTTACAAGCTCAGGTTATAGGTACATACATTGTATAACAGATGTATTACATAGTCAATCTTGGGTACAAGTCCAATATTTCATCAAGTGTTCCAGTATTCATTTAGTAGTTACAGAGTTCAGCATACCTCAGCCCAGGAGGGTGAAAGTCAGTCAGTATGGGACATTCTACAATTTAATGTTCAAGGGAGTGCATGTTTTCTCTTTCACAAAGTTGACACATGGTGTATTTGACATTTGGGTTTGGAGAAAGCTGCCAGATATGTCTATATTCCAGGCGTATTCTGGCTGCTATAACATCACATTGCCGAGTTCTTGCTCTATTAGTTCCATTTAAGAATGTCTCCTCACGATATTTATCGTAATGTTTAATGCTACAATTTTCAGGTCTATGTGAATTTGTTGGGTCAGCAAGATTTTCATTAGATATTTGTTTAAGTATTCTCTTTGTCACTGCTAATGAAACATCCATATCAATTTCTACTACTGGTTTTCTACAGGCTGTCTTTGCAAGCATATCAACAGTGTCATGCCTTGAGATGCCAACATGTGATGGTATCCAAAGGAATTTAATTTTAAATCTGTTTTCTTTAGCAGCTCAAGCATTCATTTTAGTAGAATAGAAGAACATAGACCCCACACAGCCTATAAATTATGTGAGAAATCTTTGAGAGAGATCTGTAGATGGTTCTAGATAGAAAACTTATCACCTGAGGACCACATAAAGAACATCGTGCGAAGAACCTATACTACACTTTTTAACTTCAGAATTGCTTTTAACCCTTTAACTGCGCAATGCGCCT